TAGCCCTCAGTGGCTTTTGCGGTTCAATTACAGAAAACTAGTGCAAACCGGTCAGCCCCTGTATGCACTCGGGGTGCGTGCTGGGTTTACCAACATCAACCCGCCGTATAGCGTCAGAGCCGGAAAATCCAAATCCCAGTGCACGCACTAGGCCACTGCTCCCAGGCCCATAGAGTGACTGAATCACACTTTATGCCTTTAACATGGTGCTGCTTATTTGCGCGGTCCTCGGATTGAAATTCGTTTTAGACAAAACCTCGTAGTGCCAAAGCATACCGCTTTCTCAGACGCGCCCTGCAGCCTTTTGCAAACTCTATATATCCAATACTTATCCGAGGTCTGTACAGTATGCCACCATACGCCGTCGAAAGGACACTTAGAGGCAGCGAGGGTGGGCGTCTGTCCGTTTCTTTCAAGAAAGGTTCTCCCTGATGACGGGGGATGCCGAGCATCTTCCAAAGTTCGAGGCGCGAGTCGCATGGCTGCCCCGTTAGCCTAATATGTATGTATATATATATATATATATATATATATATATATATATTTATGTATATAGATATAGTTTTATTATGTGTATATAATATATACATCTGTACACACTTTAAAGATCCTTATAGTAGGCCGTGGCAACACTACTCTATTGGTTCCTTCGGGGTTTACTATCGGGTGGCTGTGGGTACATATCATGACAGGAGCAGCCCCAGGGTTTGTTATAGTTGTGTGGTACAGATCCAGGGGTCATCGGTGAAGCTTTTTCCATGGAGTGAGCCACCCGGGATGTTGAATGTCGGCCAGCATTGTTCAAAGATTGCTTCGTTCACTGTTCGGAGTGTCTTTATGAGAAGGGTGGAGAGGCAGGCAATTTTGGAGTAATTCAATCAAGGGTCACTGAGTGCATCACTAGTTCACTCTTAGCTGCGCGCCTCAATCTTTGTCTTGTAACCGGATTGCTTCACACACTCGAGAACCCTGGGTTTGCGGCGCAAGTGTTTCGTGTTACTGGGCTCACCACCCCTGCGGCTCCGTCCCGGAGCTCATTTCTTTCAAACTCCGTTTTCGTGCTCAGGCTTTGTACTTTATATTGGTTGAAGGCCCAGGCATCTACGGTCCACACGAAACGTGTGTGCGCCCGTGCACCTGCTGCATGTACTGTGCAAGACTCCATCAAGGACCAACATCCACCGTTTTGCAACAGTAACACTGCTAGCAACTCCGCCCGTGAGGGTTCTGTTCTCATGTAAGAGCTGTTGCAGCAGCAGTAGCAGCAGCATTTCTTGGGCCTTTACTCTGGGGTCACGAGCAGATCGTTGACAACCGGCGCATCTGACCTGCAATCGGCAAGAATTGGCAGGTTGGCGGTGTGCCACTGCCGCGCCCCAAGCTTCCCAGACGTTCAAGAGGAGAAATCAGAAGACTGACGCGAGATCTAGGAAGTTATGAAATCGTGCTAGCCATGGACACCGCCGAGACACAAAACGTACTGCTAATAGTGCCAAGACAACCTTCCGTTTTCAACAACAAGTTGTTTCTGTTAAGCTGGCAGGGCAGGGACCCATAAGGCGAAGACGGTTCTTCCGAGTTTGAAGTCTTGTCTGCCACACCCTCCACCAGCATAAGTTGCATGTCGAAAGTCGAGGTCGTCATAGTGTTAGTGCTGTAGTGGGGGTGGTCGTCGTCGCGGTCGTGGTGGCGGTGGTGTTGGTGGTGGTGGCGGTGGTGGTAGTAGTAGCAGTGGGAGGAGGAGGAGGAGGAGGAGGAGGAGGAGGAGGAGGACGAGGAGGAGGAGCAGGAGGAGGGCAGGGGTGAGGGTAGGGATTAGGGGTATGGGGCCGTAGGGGTGGGGGGAAGTCAGAGTAAGAGTAGGAGTAGCAGTCGGCAGTAGCAGTCGCAGAAGTCAGAGCATCATCAGCACCAGCAATGAAGAAGCAGAAGCAGCAGAAGCAGCTGTGGCAGTGGAAATATCAGCTGTAGAAGCAGCAACGGGGAGGCAGGCTTTTCTCAGCTGGGTTTGTTAATTTCTTACCTCGAAACCAAAGAAATCTGAGCGTGTCAGGTCCCAAAACGCTTGACCCCAAAGGCTCCGAAGATACTTGTAAAAGCCTTCTGGATCATTTTCATTTGCACTTCTGAACCTTACTGCAGGTATCCACTCAAAGTGTCCAGAGCGCCGAATCCCACGGACATCAACTGGCGTGATGTTTGGGTCTTAGCGTTGGTGAGGGGTTGCTGCTCTTTGGGTCACACTGTTCGGTGTTTTCGTCTGGGGATAGTTGTGTTTCTGAGACATATGTGTTTCGAAGAAACTGGCGACGCTGCCATCACTGTCAGTTCTTATTCTTACCTTTGCTACTATGGCTGTGTCTCTAGGCCTATAACGGGTCTCAACCGTCGCTTGTTTGTAATTGTTTGCGTTGGTCAGATGTAAGGCTGTGTGCATGGTTCGGGTTTTGAGGGAATAGCGGCTCACAATTAGGTTCCAGAGGCTAGACACAGGCTCATGTTGGTGCAGGGTTGCAACTGTTTGGTGTTCACGCTTGCATTTTCAGATGCATTTCGACGAAGGCAGGGATTGAGCCGAATCCAAGTTACTGGTGCTCAGGAGTGATGGCCACAGGCTTCGTTTGCAGCGTTTGGTAGCCTTGGGGCCTTGGGGCTACGACTGCTTACTTCCTTGCCACGATCCGTCCGCTCGAGTCGAGCTTGAGGTTTGCTAAGTTTCGTTGTCTCGACGGCCGTCATCGTCGGCATCTCTTGAATTGGCATGGACAAGCCGGGGTAGTTACACCCTAATTAAATCCTAAACTAATACCCAAATACAAGCAACCCTCAGGTGGGAAGGAGCTACACGGAGTTTGTCGTGAGGAAGTTGGCCACCATTGCTGGGAACCCTGAGCCATGCTCGCTTGGCCATCTCTTCGTAAGCTGGTGGGGCCCAGTGGTCCGGGCATTAGCTTACGGGCCCCATGCCCAAATATTTCCACTATATATGCGAGGTGTTCTAAAGGTTAGTGTCAGGGATGAGGCCGTTACAGTAGCGGACCTTTTCTGTCGTTAGGGAAGTTTTGTCGCGGGAACGGCTCTTGACTGCCCAGATCTCGCTGTTCATCCTCCTCGGAGGCCACCCAGCCGCTTTCGGCTCTTGGTTGTCTTGAGGGTATAGGGTTTAATTAGGGTTCAGGGTTTAGGGTTGTGGGTTCAATTTCTGAGGTTTACCATATCTCGCAGACATCTGTCACCCTGTCGGTGTTGTGGCCGCCGACGGCATGTCATGGGGTGTAGCGGAAAGGCTGATGGCGGTTATACGCTTGCTCTGGGAGTACATGACTAGACACGGTCTCGCTGCAACGACTTCGAAGAACGGGTTGATCCCACGGTATTCCAGAGCAATCTTCCAGCAGTCAAATACCACTCACAACCCTCAGACTGCCTAGTCGAAGCCAAGGGTCAAACCTGTGAAACATGAATCAAACACCAACAACCTCCAAACCCTGCAGAACGCCTATAGAACCCGATCTACAGAAACCGAGCCTGAGCCCCCAAGCCACTCTGCAGTCTCCTACATCAGCGTGCTGTTGCTAACTCGGGAGCCGCGGCAGGCCTCCACACAGCATTTTAAGGTAGTGTTTTCACTGGTTGCTGTTTGGGTGTTTTATTGGGGCCCTAGATACGTTTGTCAACAAGTATGCAAGTGTAGATATGAAGAACTACATACAGCTGCTTCAGCCAACATGTAACTTTACATGTGTGTGTGTGTGCATGCGCACGAGCTTTCCTGCAAAAACGTACATGTAAACACTTACGGATTAATGTCTAATATGCGTAATTAAACCACCATCTTTCAAGACACGGACAAGTGTATGTATGCATGAATTAACATGTATTTATACTGGTAGGTATGTATAGCACCTATGCCTGGATATTGAAGTTGCGCAATTGCGGCGGGCATGCTGTGCGTGCAATTGTCTATCGGATTTGCCTACTTGGTATACATACATGGAACAATGACAAGGGTGCAAAACGAAGCATTCGAAAGCCTTAAGGGGGCCTCTTCTGAACACCCAGCTAAGGCTAAAGGCGCCTGTATGAGCTTCTGCACAATACCTGCTTTCCTAGAATGTGAAAGCAGACAGTTTTGGTCAGACATACATACATGGGGGCATATAGGTGCAGTGCAATGGTTTGTCGGTTTGTGCCCTGAACACAAAGTTAGGCCCAACGTTTCTGATAGCATATTGACTGTCCATTTACCTAGGACATCCAGTAGAAGGTCAACACCCACGGTGTGTTGCGATATTATGTAAACGAAAAGTACACCGAAACATAAACAGCTAAGAAGCATACCTATACTGGAACATTACATCAAGTTTGTCAAGTCCTTCTCCGCGGTCTTCATGTAAAGCCTCTGCTTCGAGGTTCTTTATTACTATTATTACTATTATTTGTCTTGCTACTATTATTACTATAAGTATTATTATTCTCAGAGTCGGTATCTTCAGAGGTTTGAGTTTGGAACGAAGCTTCGAGAGATCATGGCCCCAGAGTTTCTGGATACTTTAAGCAGCGCGGCGAATGACTAGTAATTTTAAAACAGTTCTTTGTCGTTCCTTCAGAGCTTTGTATGATTCTGCTACAACGTGCGCCGAAACATACAGAAACCTTTCTTCCAGGGCCTCCAAGACTCTATAGTATGTAGCTCAGCTGGGGTCGAGATTTTCAACGTGACTTTCTTCGGTTTGCGCCTCTCGCCGAACTCGCAGTAGGGTTCCTGGAACCTGCCAACGCGGCTTTCGGCTTTCAGGCTTACAGTTAGAGAGGCGATGTGTCTCGATCAAGCTTTTTGCTCGTAGGACGGGACCTTGCCGAGGTTCTTCCATGAGCCAGCCTTTCGCTTTTGCTGGTTTCGTTCGCCTACGAGTAACTTTCAGTTCGGATGCGGAACAGTTTGCGACGCTGTCTGTACTAGTGCTGAGGCACAGCGACCACTAGTCTTTTTCAGTGCCATGGCTCCTCGACACCGTGGCAAGCCTGCTCGTGGTTCGCGATGCCTTTGCTGGTGCACCCGCTCATGGTTCATTGCGACGTAGTTTGTCATTTTGCAGTTGACGTTGTTTCTGTTCGTTGGTCATTTTACCAAGTTGCACACATTTTCACCCATCGTCTCGGCTGTCTCGGCATATAGAAACTAAATGAAACGAACACGGGCGCAAGTCTCGGAGATCAAGCGGCCATGTCTTCCTGTCAAAACTAGGACCAACTAGGGTAGAGGAGTCAAGTGTTCTGTCTCATTCCACGAACCCTACACATGTATCCCGCTCCTCCACAACTTCACCTCCTGACTCGATGCTCTGCGGCTGACACCCTAAAACCCCCAGCCAGCAAGCTATGACTATGTGAACGCCTGAATGATTCCTTGTTTGTTCTTTGGCTTCACTAACACCAATTCTAATTCGACAATAATAGACCTTCCCCCCAAACATCCCCAAACTCTATTCTAGCTACTCAACCAGTAGCCCTTTAACAAAAAGGCCTTTGTAAAAGGAGCTGTACTCTAGTTCTTACTTAAGGCCACAATTTCCTTACCGTTGGTTAGTAGGGAATGGAGGCATGGGGTATAATTATAACTACTATTACTACCATTCTTCCATTCCCTACTAACCAGAGGTAAGTTTCAGGTGCATGGCCCTCATGCTCGCCCCGGCATTCGTGGTGCCGGGGCCCGGGCCTTCCGTGGCACCCCGGCGCCTGGCGCGGCGTGCGGAGGACCTGGGTTTCGGGCTTAGGTTTCCTACCATTTCATGGGATGAGGCCCCAAAAGACCTTCCTCATAATGGTTTTTGGGCCCTAATTCCATAATAGTAATATATATATATATATATATATATAGGTATATATATATATATAGATACATGGACCCCTGGGTTTTACAGGGGTTTAGAATTTTGGCTTGTAGGACGTAGACCTTATAAGGGTTCCAGGTTGGAGGCCACATCCGATTCCTCATGTGAGACCTCGTTTTGGTGTTCAAGCAGTTCAGGGTATAGGGTTCCTGGCTCTGCGCTGTTTTTTCGGTTTCCAACGGCGCGCGAATTCACAGTGTGTCATAATATGGTTCGACTTTAATTTGTAGCTTCTGGGATTCGTCTCGGTATAGGGTTACTTTCTTTGGTTCGGCTGGAAGACTTGGCATGGGCATTTGTAGGCTTTCCCATGTCAGCCATGGTCCAAAACAAGGAACCGCACTAATTAACTAGTCATGAGTCCTCAAGCCTGTGAGCTGAAACTGAACCCTAGACCCTTAAAGCAGGTTACCTAAAGGTAAGCATAGTTACGAGACGCTGAGATTTCGAGACCCTGCGAGGTGGCCACAAGCCCCTCGAAGCAGTCCCTGGAAACGAGCCCCGAGGCCTTTGTGTTGTTTCTTGTGTGTGTGTCTTAGGTTGCGTAGTTCGGGTATAGTTAAGGATTGTGGGGCCCGTAAGGGTGGTAAGTGCTCCGAGAGAGTTTCATTGGGGCTCTGGGGTTCGGGCTTGAAATGTTTAGTTTTAAAATTTTAAACAACATCCTAAGTCTTTTGTGCTCACGGATTGAAGCCTTGTGCTCATGGACTTGTACGGCCTTGCGGGATTAGCTCGTGGGTTTAGGCTTATTGCTCAGAGATTTGCATAAGGTTCAAGATTCGCTGTTCAGTTTTGAACCACGGGACAGTTTAATTGTTCCGTTGCTGAATGGCTTAAGTTTTTGTTTCTTGCCCAGGAGATGGAATCTTTTCGCAGCTTTGCCTCCACAGTCCCTTGAGCGTTGACAGAATCAGGTCGTCCAAGACTGTAACAGTGCAGATTCTCCGCAAAAAGCCTGAAAAGCTAAAACCTTGGTACTTGTACTGCAGTTGACAGCCTTTGAGGAGTATAACGCATATGTTTCTTGTTGTGCACTTTCGGTTGTCTTGTCTGCAGACCTTGCCGGGAATTGCCCGAGTGTAAGAGTTAGCATCAAAAAACCTTTAACCCTAAACCCTATAAATCCCAAAACGAGTGACATGCTGCGCGCTCTAATCAACATAATGTCTGCAACAACGACCTATAGGTCCTGTCACATCGGCCTCTTTTACCTTAACGAAGGATGCAAGGATGGGAGAAAGGAGGCGAGCCAACAAAAACACCAGAGATCTTACTGCCAAAGGCGTTAGTTCAAAAGCCTTTGCAGCCCTATGGAAGCCCTTATCTTGCTGTGACTTTACACAGAACCCTTATAGTGACCTTTGCACAACCTCTTGTAGTGAAGACTTAACGGTGACCCCTTAGAACCCCAGTTGCTACCCTAATTTGAAAACATCCTTGTAGTAACCCTCTATGTTGTAGACCTCTTACAATAACCCTTTTACGCTCTAGAAGCTCTTGCGCAACCGGTATCGTAGCGGTTTGTGCTATCGAGCACCTTACAGCAACCCGAAAGCAGCAACTCTTTATGCCATAGAAGTCCTGAAAAGGAACCCCCAATAGAGGACTGAAAACGGAATCCCATAGAACTCCTAAACCCTAAACCCCAAAATTTAAACCCTATACCCCGAACCCGGAACCCTTTAAAAGCAGCCTCTTTACCAACATTCATGGAAGCCTTTAAAAGGAACCCCCATAGAAGCCCTTAAACTTAAACAGGAGCCTCTTTACCTTGATTTCGCCAGGCCGCCCGTGCCACACTGGCCGAGTCCGCCCTGACCCGCGAGCGCCTTCGAAGATGAGAGGGCTTGGGATTTGGGACATAGGGTTCCTTATAGGGTTACTATGGGTTCCTGTAAAGGGCTCTATACGGGTGTAGGAGATTCCGAAACTTAGGGGTACCTTACTTGGGTTTAGGATACCATCTTAGGGTCCTAACGAGGCTTAAAAGCTTTAGGAGTTGGGCTTTTTGGGGTTTATGGGGCTTTAGGGGTTCATGGGTTTAGGGTTTTGGGGCACTGAACGCGGAAGCTTCTGGCCTAAAGCTTTTGGGGATGTTTCTGGCAGAGAGTTTGGGGATGAGCAGAGAAGGAGTCGAGTGGAATCTAACCCCAAGGGTCCAAGTACCCAATAATCATACACTCTCCAAAATCCTAGCCTACACTACTATACCCTAAAACCGAGTACCCTTTGGACCCTTAGGGTAACGGTTGGGGCAGCGATTCTGTCTGATGGTATCTGGATCTTTGGAGACGTTGTCGACCGCCATCCACTGCAAGACGCTGCAAGGACATCTCCCGAAGACGTCTTCGAGGCAATTCGCGTGCTCGAGAAAGCGAAGCTGCCCGGCCGCACAGAAGGTATCGAAGTTTCATGCTCTGAGCGAGCGGGATTCAGGTACAGGCAAACCTTCAGCATAATTCGATCGGAGTCCAAGCCGCCCCGGTAAATGCTTCCGCCAGATCCATTCACCTTCTGGGGTCCTCTGAACGTGATGCCACAGTACTTGCGGTGGCTGTTTTGAACTTTGCTAGTGTCTATGACCCGACCGAGGAATCGGACAGGTGATTCCGGCTTCACGAAATTCTTGACTGGCGACTGGCGCCTGATCTACACCACTGGCACCAAGAAGACAGAAGACGCCGCTTGCCGAGACATGCTGGCGGCTCTTTGCTGCTCCGGGAGTGCCGGGGTTCACCTCATCACACTGTGTCACGCAACGCAGCTATCACAGAATCCAAAGTGGATTCAGCACTTCAAGCGGACAAGTTCAATGTTGCCCCCGGATCCAGGGTGGTTCTTGGACCAGGAGCGGTTTGTCTGAAACATGCGACTTTTCTGAACCGACTTCGCAAGATCCGGGGGAAGTCAGCAAAGCTGCCTATTCTCACTTTCTTAATCCTGGACTGTCTGCGACAGTGCTTTTCTAGGAAGGAAGGTGTCCCAAACCCCAGCCCATGTACTTCGGGGGACTTCGCCGCAGCACTGCGACTGAGGAGATTGGCCGGGTCAACTATGTGCCCATCACGGCGGTGCAGCGTTTCGATATGGACCCCCTTTTGAAGGGCTCAGGGTTCGTGTGAGTGTGAGGGCTTTAGACTCGGACCTGCCATGCAGGGCCTAAAGAGCGGACAGTATGGTGGGTTTCGGTGTGGCATGTGGAAACGTCCAAGGAACCACAACTGGAGTCGACTTGAAGGTAGCGTCTTCGGTTCAATTCAGAGATTCGTTCTAAAGGCATGCTGGGCAGATTCCGGACCCTCCCGCTGTTCCCTGCCTTAGGAGAAGAAGTTCATCCGGAATGGAGTCTACCTTGGCCCGATCAGTGCCTCAGCACGATGAGCGGGTGTCTTGTTTGCTCGGCTTTGTCCCATCAGTCACAGCCCCGTAGTAATTTTCTTCTCCGAAGGCTGACCGGCCTCACTAGCACCACTACGCCACTACACTTCTTTTGTTGATGCTTTTGCTGCTCCTGCTCCTCCTGCTCCTCCTGCTCTTCCTGTTCCTGCTCCTGCTGCGACGGCGACGACCACAACCACAACCACAACAGCCACTGCTACTAATACTACGACGACAACCGCCACCATAGACAGACGCATGTGCATGCAAGATGCTCTTTTGGCACGGGCACACACGCATACACATACCGAGACACATGCATGTATACATACATACAGACGGACAGACATACCCACACAGACATAAACACATACATACATGCATATGAGCTACTTGCGGCTGCTTGAACTGCCGACCGACCCTTCTGTTTCAACCGGAATTGAGGACCGCTCGTGCACACTGCGCACTCAGGATTCCCCCAGTCCTCCCGCTCCACATGTACATGCGCAAATATCTTTTATAGATAAGTTCATATCCACAAACAATCCGAGCCGTTATACACCTATTGAAGTAGAATCCCTGTCCGAAGACTTTCAGCCTGACTTGATCAGACCCGTGGCCCGTTGTTGCTACTAGTAGCTGGCATGATGATTGCCATGTCAGGGAATTGGGTAGCCCCCCTGCCAAGAAGTAGAAGTTCACAAATGGCTCTTAGGCTCCCATGTCCTCGAAATCGTGAATAGTACGCAGCATGTGATGATGTGCTCTGCAAGACGAAAGCCCCATGTTGCTGTGAACACAGTTCTCATTGCCCCAAACCCTGGGCCGATAGGCCTCGAGTTCGAGGGTGGCTTCCGATGGATTGAAGACACTCGGCTGCCTGGTCACTGCTCCTTTGCCAGGGTTTACCCTGAACATCATGTCTTCAGAGTGTTTCCGAACCAGTCTTGGGGTGAATACTGAATAGATGTGGACAGACGCGCATGACGATTAATCCTAAACTCAGACTCTGTTATGCACCCTGTGCCAGAATCATAGACAGGACATGCGACGGCTCGAGTTTGACTTCGAGGATCGCTCGGAACAGTGCATGTGATGGGTGGCTGAGCATCCTAGCTACGCACAAAAGAAAGGCAGCACGAGCACAGGCGGAACAAGACTTTATCTTAGAGCTCGCAGTCTCGAATCTTGCAGGTTTGAGTCCCATGAGTCCCAACACAATGAAGTCCTACCTTTTGTGCTTATTCGATGTCTTGCTTTATCCGTGTTCCTTTGTTGTAACGTGTCCATAAGTTTACATGAGTTTAGGTCTTCAATTCCGTAAGTTGCAATTATTGGAGAAGCTGTCTGCAGCATGATTGAGGCGTAAGAGGCGTGTTGGCCGGTATCCTCTTGTTGGGAGTTATGTGTGAAAGTTTGCGAAACAGCAGGTGCGCGGGTTGGAAATAAAAGGTTTCGACATGTTTCGGCACTGAGCAGAATCATGTTTGCTTGTCGGTTGCAAGAAATACCGGGTGCAATGGACCTCATAGCTGCAAAGCCGTATACTGCATTGTCGAATCGTTTTGACATTGGTGGTAGGAATATCAGATGAGTTCAGCTGACGGTGTGCAAAGCACACTTAAGCTGCCGGGCTTTCGAGCCCCTGTAAACGAACACGCACCAGCTCACTGCATAAGCGCTCAACCCCGCTAGCCCTAGTTGGGCTTGCCGATGCGCAAGGTGTCCGTGGATAGCATCCAATTTCGAGCGCTGACAACTGCAACAGTCGAAGCCGTCCCCGTTGCAATTGTACACGATATGTTGTATATAATGTCTAGCATCTAACTAAATTCTATATGCAATATGTACGGTAATCTGAAGTGTGTTCTTTCCTTAAAAACCAGGAAGCCTCCACCCAAGTCGAAGCAGGAGCTCAAGGTCTGTGGTTACTCCCTTGACCTGCCAGACTGGCTGCGCGGCATGGCTGGGATGAAGAGCTCCGTGGCTTTGCCGGCAGATGAATCAGTTGCTATAAGGGGCCTGAAACTGGAACAGGGCTTGGGGGTAAATTATAGTTTACTTGATTCGCAGTCAGAGTTTTGTCGTACTAGTTTGGCGCAGAGAGGCAGATCACTTAAGTAGCGTAAGGCTTTTCCCACCGCAGTCTAAAGTGGCAGTGGCATAGTACTCAAGGTAGCGGTTTCGGGGCTGGCGTTTCTGGGCATCCCTTCAACTTCGATCCCAAAGTCCCGCAGGAATGAAGCTTTTGTTAGTTTTGCTACACTCCGCTTGAATCGAAGCCCGGGCCCCGGGCCTTACTTCGGAGTGTTACCACTTTCGAACATGGCACCGAGAAGCCCTACAAAAAGCAGCCGGCCTTCAACTTTGTGGCCATCGTTCCTTGGACATGAAAAGGCAATGGTGCTGATGATACGGAGGATGATGATGATGATGAAGGGGAGGATGATGATGCTGGCAAAGACGAAGGCTATGATGAAAGTGCGTGATAGTACCCATGTAGCACTTCTTCTGTTCTAACAATGAAAGGTGTGCTGCGGCCTGCGGACAGACGCCGACGTCCTTGCTGCTGTTGCTGTCGCTGTTGCTGATGAGATCTGATGAGGATAGATGGGCATGAGGATGAACATGATCATCAAGAGACCGCAAGGATTCATCGTTATTGTGATGAATGAAATGATGATGTCGTTGGTGGCTGTGAAACCGCAAGGAGCGAAAGATAGCGAGCGCCATTGCAGACCATGAGGTAGGGATTAGGAGCAGCTGAGCAGCAGGCAGCGTGTTGTAATGCTTCTGAGGTCGGTCAAGGGTTGGCCCTAGTGTGCTGACTGGCCGAACCTGAATTACTCTCCCAGAAGGATGTTTTGAAGGTGACAGCTCGTCGGGTAGATTCTTTGCCCTCGCCACGGCACGGTCTCTATGTACAAGCATGCCTGTGTGGTATTCCGAGTTGCTGGAAGTCGGAGGTTGTATTGAGATTGAGAAGCTGGGAGGCTGCAAGGGGCTGCCCGAAGTCCCCATGTAAAGCCAACTACTACCCCCACGACAACGAGATATCGAGGCAGCTGCCCACATTTGCTGTCGTCAGAATCTACTAGAATGTAGCAACCTGCTCAGGTTGGCCTACAAGAAGTGCGGGGGAACACACAGTTACTGCCACAGTATGATTGGCATGTGTTTAATCTCCGATCGTTGCGCTTCTAGTTCACCCTGGACCCTCAGAGCCCCCCAAGCTTGCATAGAACTAGTCAGCCAAAGACCCCTGCCGATCTTCCGGACGAGGACGAGAAGATTGCCGCGGCCAGAGGTGCTGGGGGTGGTGTTGCTCTTTGGGTTCGTGGCTCGGCCGGTGTGGTTTCGCGTCGTGGTGTACTATTGTTTCGCTACCATGCACTGCTGCTCCTACTCCTACTTCTACCATCACGGCTACTACTATCACACTACTACCACTACCACTGCCACTGCAACTACCATTGCCCCCACACTACCACTACCAAAACCACTACCACCACCACCACCACCACCACCAGCACCACCGCGTCTACTGCTACTTCTACTGCTGCAACTACTGCGACAACAACAACAACTACTACTAACACCACTACCAGTACCACTACTACTATTACGATTACTACTCCTACTGCCACTACTACGACTACAACTACTGTTTCCACCACCACCACCACCACCACCCCACCACCACTACTACTACCACCACCACTACAACCGCCACTGCCACTACCACTGCCACTGCCACTAGAACTGCCAGTGCCACCACCACTCCCTCCGCTGCCACTACAACTGCTGCCACTACAAATGCCACTGCCATTACCACTGCCACTACCAATATCACTAGCACTACCACTACTACCACCACCGCTACGACTATTCCTACCGGCACTACTACTACTAACTACTATACTACTACTATACTACTACTACTACTACTACTACTACTACTACTACTACTACTACTACTACTACTACTACTACTACTACTACGACTACGACTACGACTACGACTACGACTACGACTACGACTACGACTACGACTACGACTACGACTACGACTACGACGACGACTACTACAACTACGACAACTACGACAACTACTACTACTACTACTACTACTACTACTACTACTACTACTACTACTACTACTACGACGACTGCGACTACGACTACACTACGACTACGACTACGACTACGACTACGACTACGACTACGACTACTACTACTACTACTACTACTACTACGACTACTACTACTACTACTTCACCACCACGACGACGACTTCTCTGACTTCTAGTCACTTCGGCATGCTATCCCCGCCTTGCGCTATATGTCATTTTCGGTGTGACACATTTTTTTGTTATGCGTCATGTTTTTGATATTTTCATTCCTCAGTGCTTCACTGTCAACCCTTCTTCGATATATACAGGGTCTCGTCAAGCACTGCAGGCTAGCAGCTAGCTCTGCTGGCCGCGCCTGCTACTGCGATCGTTATTATGGCATATCATGATAGAAATCGTCATGTTGGTGATAACAGTGTCATCACAAGCAACAGCAACGCTCTCATGGTGGAGTGAGCTCGCTTTCGGTTCGTGCCGCATCCAGGAAACGAGCTGGTAAACTGAGTTGCGGAGAAGCCGTCTCACAAGGGTTTGGGTTTTCAGGGCTTTGGCCTTCTGTTTTTCGAGCTTATAGTGTGCAGCTGAAGTGCCACAGACACAGCGAGGAAAAGCAAAGCCAAGAATGGATCGTCTGCCGGGGCTTTTGAGTTAAATCTGGATGCTGCCGTGAAGTTGGAAAGCGGGCCTCGCTGCTGACATCCGCAGTACAGTATCGTGTAGTGTGTAGCGAGTATAACATATCGTGTATAGTATGGCAGTATAGTACATCACAGTATATGCCTGCGCAGGGCTCCTGCTGAGGTGCCAAGGTTTTCGGAGCCTAACACAGGGCTACTTATGGGCGTACCAAGTGCCGTTCAGACTCGGTCAGGCTTCTATACTCTTCGGTTGGTAGTTCGTGCGAGGCGGTGTTTGCAGGGCAAGGCGGGTTGATCGCCTGCATGACCACCACATTGAGCTCACATCCGTCCAGGAAATAGACCAGTTGCCGGTTGAGAAAATCTCAACTTTCCGTGACGTCTGCCTTGCAGCTGGGATGTCTACCTAGCATCTCAGAAAGCCGTAGTGTAAGTGACAGCCAGCAAGACCCTAAACATGAATTCTGAGCCGTAAGAAGTGCCGCACCTGTGCGACAATTTGCTGCTTTCGGTGTCTCTGCTCTCGCCGCTGGTTTTATCGGAGGCACGCAGAGTGACCCCTCAGATGAACAGGGAGGCGAGCCGATGCGGGGAACCAGCTTAAACCCTCAAGCCCGGCCCTAGTTCTGCAGAGGGTCTGCTGACCTTTGAGCTGATTCAGCTGCTGGAGGTTGGAGGGGTTCCTCGAAGAGCCGATGCTTACAGGAATAGCGGGCCCGCAGGTACATACGATGCGAAATTGCATGGACCGATTCCGTATTGTTGCCATCCCAGAACCCCGATCGTGACTGAACAATCCCCTGTTGTTTGAGCAGCTCTCTGAACCCCATGCTGGTAGGCACATCCTGAATGAAGCATTGCAAACTCGTGGCCAGTATCTCGTCTCCTTGACCATGAACTCCCTGATCCCGGCGACGGCGGCGTGTGCCTCTGCAAGTGGAGTGCAAGTGGCACATGGATTCCAGCATGCTATGTTGACTACCCAGCAACAGGAAGCCACTTCGCATGTCTGACATCGCTTCTAGTACCGAGATCACGATCATCAACGTGCTCCTGATGGTCGCAGCCAGGCGCCCCCTCTGTCACAGGCATGGGGTAATGAAGTCTGTAGAGGTCGCAAGCAGAGCATCGGCGCAGAGTCGAAGTCTAAGTCTATGCTTTGGGGCAGAGGTTCGCCACAGCTGGTTCTCTGCCGGTTCACTTTCGCTTACAAGGCTCTTTTGGGCATGCTTGCTGCGTGCTTCGGTCCCAGCCCTCCTGAGCAAGTAAAGATGGAGCCAAACGACCTCTGCAGCATTGCAGGTGCAGCGGTCGCTTCAACCTACTCTTAGGCAAATATCCGAAAGCCTCAAAACATGCTCCTCCACCTTCACCTAAACCCACTGTAGAAGTGCTAGCAGTAGTAACAAAGCCAGCGCCTCTCTCAGTCACAACTCCCAGGTGGTTCGGCGAGCGGGAGGTGCATCTCACCAAGTGTCCACCTCATGCTCGAGGGGGTGGGGGGGCACGGGCAGAATTGTTGCAGAGACACCGGATACCGTGTAGCGGATGGATGCCCCATGAGTTCATTACGGGAAGCACCGTTCATGGCAGAGGCTAAATTAAAGTTTCAGCTGATGCGGAGTAGAGCCTGGGTGCAAAAAGGTGAAATTCTCTGTTTGCAACATGGGTTTGCAGTCTCGTAGTCCCGCCGAGGGAAGAACCTTGCCTTTTGCGTCTAGGGACACCATCTGTCAAGACATCCATGTGAGTGGCCTAACTATACGGCTGTGAGAGGATCCGAGCCGAAGTTCGTAGTTGTGCGAGGTGCTGATTCCCACCAGACATCTGTCAATCAGTGGTCGTCCCGACTTAGAACATGTGTTTATGTTTAATATAAAACATACTGATGCAATACAACATAAGGTAACAAGTGTAGTAGAATACACCACCTGAAGCGGCCCTGAAATGCCAGTTCTTCGGCTCCGAGGACGGGCGAGGCGGCAGCCATCAACTACTACATGACGGCCGCAGTCCCGAGATCCCCCTCCGATATGGGCCCTATGAAATGAAGGGGTTAACCCCCTTATGAAATGGTTCATGTCATTTCATAACGTGCCCCTGTATATCGAAGGGGGATGTCCCGAGTGTGTGCGCGGGATTACGGGCAGATGAGCTTCGAACATGCGCAAAGGCTAGCGTCAAGCTTCGGAAGGGAGGATTCGGATCAGCGGTCATGGAAACAATTATACTATTAGCTATAATAGCGATTACTATCATTATTGTTATTTCCGTTTTTACTATTACTGATATTGTTGCTACTATTATATCACCAGGCAAACGATAACTTACTTGTGGTGCATAAATGTAGTAGACTGACGCCTACAGTGTTAGAGCAGCCGTCGGTGTCTGCCCTCTTTGTTGGAACAGGTCGTTTTGGAGAGGGGGTTCATTAAAGTCAGAAGGCGCTTCAAGATCTGGAATATAAAGGGCCTAAATAATTACCAGTACTGTTTCGGGGGCTCGTTATTTTACATTACTTTTATTTTCAAGTATAATGGGCCCGAAACCCTATTCTAATTGTTGAGGCCCCTATGATCCACTTGTTACTCGTTGTGGTCGTTGCGTCGCAGCCTAGGTGGC